TGTGTGCATGTATGTGTGAGTGTGTGTGTGTGTGTGTGTGTGTGTGTGTGTGTGTGTGTGTGTGTCTGTGTGTGTGTTTGCTTTTTGTTTCCCTTTTACCGGAGAATTTATTCTTGCTAACGCCATCACTGTGGAACGGTTATATCGCAAATCGGTGACCGTTGTCCTTGGTGTCGTGGTCAAAAGATTTTGCCGTCAGGCGCAGAAGATCCTAGATCGTCCGCTGAGATTTTCTGGTTTCACTCTTAGCCCGTGTTGGCCCTGACAGGCTAGGTCGAAACCTGCCTTTTATAAATGATCTCTAATATGTTGCCAGGGGTGTAAAACACTTACTTAGGGTCTGCTGGGGTGGAACGAGTTGTAAAACGCACAGTGCATGCTGTAGAGCATAAGTACTTTATACATTGTTAAATGAAATTGTTATAGTAAAAACATTTAAATGAATCCAAGGACAATAATTAGCCTGAATAGGACACGAGAAATGCAGAGAATAAATGCCATCATAATGGTACATATCTGTCTTCTTGTTGTAGGTTTTTTTCTGTTTATTTTTGCTTTTATTTTGTTTTTGAGTTAACGCGGAAAATTTAGAGAAAATCTCACTTTATCAGTCTTCAAAGCAGGTTCAGTTTATGTTTCGCCGCACGCCTTGCGAAAATGTTTTAATGTATAAAGAAAAAAAAACCCACAAACCTTTTTTTTTTAGTTCAAAGTACACTTTACGACTAACTAATACAAATGTGTTTCCAAGAAACATAATGTTATGAAAATGACAAAATTCATTTTTACTAATGATGTTATAACGTGTATATTATACCATACATTTACAGTGCCAACGGTTCTATTGTCTATAGATGAGTGGAAAATCTCACTCGTTCTACGTCACACATTATTATAGGGGTAGGATACCCAAATAGATGTTGACATTGATATCGATTTCAAGTCCTGGTCGGTAGAGCTGTCTTAACGGCTGACTGGTGACGCTGTGGAGAGGGGTGCTGCAGGAAACATCGCTGTCTGACCCATCACCACCTCAGTGTCTGATTGTATCGATCTCCTGGGCATTCCTGGGTAGGGGCAGCACGATGAGCGGACTCACAAATACAAATACATGTGCACGCACTCGGAGACATTCAGACTCAAATAATAGTCTCTCTCTCTCTCTCTCTCTCTCTCTCTCTCTCTCTCTCTCTCTCTCTCTCTCTCTACC